TTGAACTCATTTGGCAAGGGCTTGAATATAACAGACTTGTATTTACATGTAAAAGTATCACGCTCCAACTTTAAGTCACTTGAGCTTAAATCCCAGTCGACTCATTCCAAGAGATTGAGGTGTGTTATGTGTGTCAGGGATAAAATGTGCTAAAATGAAGACCTCCAGCAGATGTCACCCCTTCATCTAATTTCACTAATTGTACATCCTTGACTCCTTTCCTTGTGTCTTAGTCCCTCTCACCAGAGATTGGAGCAGAGGAGGGCGAGGAGGGGAGGGGAAGAGAGAGGAGTAAAGGCAACAAGTTTTAAACAAAGTGAGACATCCTCACCTCAGAGCCGTCAGTTTAAAGCGAAGTCAGTTAAATATAACATGTGGCACAGCTGTCCTGTCTGTGGTTTTATTGTAACCTCCCACTGTGTCTTATAATCTCTGTCATATGAACAGAACAGTGTTCATGATAACTTGCAATAGATATTTTCACTCATAATTTAAGTCACAGCACGGCAGAATGTGACAAAAATGTACAGACATCATACATTGTAATTGTTTATTTAACACACATGTAGTGTGGAGTATAAGATAGATGGGGAACACAAAATAGTACTATATTAATACTGAGTGATATGTATATCATGTACACACATTTGTTCGTCCTGCTGCCATCATAGTGAGGACGCACCTATGCATGCTCCTGCAGCAAGTTTCCTCCATCCCCGATTCTCTCTCCTCGATATGCATTGCAAGAATTGAGACGTCCTTTTTTTGTGATGCACCAAGATTGATTTCTGGATCACAGGCAGGAGGAGAGAGGATCAACAAGGCTGAAATCAGTGAAATGAGATAAGCCTAGTTGAAAATGAACTGCATCAGACTTATACTAATACATTTCCCACATGGATGTTTGCAGGGTTTTTAACAGCTATGAGACAAGAAGTAACTCGAGCAAACAAAGGCTGGGCTCTGGACACAGTCATACTGAACAACAAAGTGCTTCAGCAGACACAGGAGGATATCACAGCCTCACCAAAAGTGAGTCAAAAAGCAATATTGTGCTCACACTGAATGTGAGATGATGAAACAATTGATGCTGTTTTCTTTAAGGAAGGCATGGT